TACATAATACAGAAGGAATAAAAAAAATGTGTCGCTCAAACCAACGCGCCATCATACTAATATGCACAGAAAGTGTATACAATCCGAAACGAATAAAAAAAAACAACGTGCGCGTGCTCGCTGACAACAAAGTGAAGCAGCAAAGGTAAACAAATGATAAATAAATAAATAACAAAAAAATGAAGAATATGAAGAAAAAACATGTGCTGAAAACTCATAAAAATGCTAATGATGCATTCACGAAACCAGAAGAGAAACATCGGTAAACATAGTGAAAAATTCGTGCTGTACCAAGTTCGACCAATCGAGACATATAAGCGCGTTGTGCAAACAAATGACGAATTGAACAAAGCGAAAAACAAGACGGAACAAACGGTGTCAAACCGAATTTCAAGAGAGAGAGAAAAAAATGGCATACAGACGTTCCAATATGATACCGATCTGCGAGAGTGTATGTTTTTTTTTGTCTTTGTTTGAAGAATTAGCGCAAACCATGATTTATTACTGACTGTGCAAAAAAAAAAAACAAAAAGACGACAACTAAGGTAACGAAAAAACAAAATTACCCAACTTACCCGAAGAATAAATGATGTATGCGAGCAATCTGTATCGCATAATACGAAGTGAATGAACGATGTTAGTTCAAGTTCCGTACTGTCGACAGAAACGATGACAACAAAAACCCACTTAAATATTAAACATAGAAGTTGATGTCATAAAGTAGCATAAAATAGACTAAGAGAACGACCTTAGTCTCGATTTACTTTTTAAAAAGTTTTTAGGCTCTAAATTGCAATGTATTACGAAACTTTGCTTCTACATATGCGATGCGCTCCGATTGATGCAATTTCTGTATATTTATTGTGCGAATTGCATGTAACAAAAAAAAACATATGTCAGATCATTTGTATGCGAAATACAAATTAAATCCCGAATTTTATGGGCCATATCTGATGCATGCACGAATGTACGTCCTATCGAATCGACCTTCTTTGATTGGCAGCAATAGGCAGAAACAATGCTATGGAAAGGTGTATGGCGTTCAGTATATCACTCATTTAATTAAAGAGAAAGAAAAGTATTACAGTCTCGACTGTTGTTAATACTTGAGCACTTAGGGCTGTTTGCCAAAAAGTTTCAAATCAAATATGGACAAGAGTTGAACGTACATACTCTCAAATAAAAGCTTCATACGCACTCCAACTTGTTATTGAATTAAATATACTTCTTGGAGCTCTTGATAAAGAATGAATTTCAAGAACCATACACCATCAATCGATCACAATCGATTCGAAATGTTTTATTAAGAGATTTCTTGGATGCATAACAAAGAGAGCAAACTTTTCTATTCTTGATTTTGGGTGATTGGAAAAAAAACTCCGGTGGATTTTGTTGTTTTCTTCGATGTATTGATTGATGGAATGGATTTTTCGTTGACATTAATACGTTGATACAGTTAGTCAAGAGTTTCGCGATATCATTTATCATTCGCATGAATATATTTATATGGTTTTCGCCATTTTTACTCTCTCTCTCTCTCTCCCTATCTATTTCTTACAAATAAACACATCTAGCGGGTGTCTGTGAAGCTGCATTTAGCCATTTATCACACATTTGCTTTACTTTATTGACAACATCCATAAGCAATACACCTTAAAAATTGTGCCCGTTAACTTTCTCCCGTTCGAAATGGAAAAAAGAAAAATATGTAAACGGAACCGAAAAAAATACTATCGATCTCGATGAAATCCAAAATAAACAGCAGCTCACAGTGTACACATTTATAAAGATATATAAGATTGAAGGCAAAGTATGAGCTAAAATGTGAATAAATAAGCGAATATTAGTATGTGAGCTGTGAGCACAACTTTGGCAAAGAGAGCCAGAGAGAGAGAGAAAGAAGTAAGGTCGATTGAAGACAAAAATTGCTGCGAGCGAAAAAAGGTGCTCGCAACTTACTATTATTTTATTAAGATTAAACATTAACTCCATTAGTCAAGACCTGTAAAACGCTGTAAAACGAAAGAAAGAGTCAAACAAAATGTGAATGAAGTATAGACACCAAGACCGAATGGACTATCTTTACCGCGTGGCTGTTGTGTGTGCGCGCGCGCGTGATACAAACCGAAAAGACCAAGAGAGCACGAGTTCAAGTTAATTACAATGTGTTCGAATAGTTTAAGAGTAGTTCGAAGCGAACAAAAATCGACAATAAACGTGGAATTAATAATGAACAATGATGGTCAACAAAGCAAGTGAAAAGAAAACTTGCTTAAGAAAACACACATACGAATGCGAATGCACACAGTCTTAATTCATAAAACAAACTCTAAATTTATTTTCAGTTTTCGATTAGAATCTTAAATGTGAAGAGAAGAAAAAACATATACGGTTTTTTGTGTAAAATGTGCTCGATAAATGCTCAATCTTTTGTTTATGTGAAGCTAAGATGAAATGAGGGAGAGAGTGAAAAAAATTTAAATCAGCAGTTTTATTGATTGAACAATATCTCATTCCACAAATGGCCACAGCAAATGAATTCCACTAATTCCATTGATGCAGTGAATGAAGCAAAAAGGAATAAAAACAATCTCATTTTGAGAAATTAATCGATTTGACGCAAATCAATGGTTCACTTTCATGATGTTGAATATTCATTTTGAAGCGCTAAATATTTTCTCAATTCGCATCCGGTCACTTTTTTGTTGTATATTATGAGTCACAACATCGACAATATAGACATTTTAAGCTTAACTAGTACTGGAAATACTGGAATATAAATGTTACCGAAATTCATGGTGTTCCATGAAAAATCTTTTCAATTATTTTAAAAGTTGATCTGATTTTAGACGCTCTATTGTTCTAGCTATTTGTCATGTAATTTAGTGCGTGCCATCAATCTAATATACACTACGATGTACGATGGCATACATTCTATTAGGTTTATAGAGCTCTTTTCTCCGTTATCTATTGCGTTTGATCTTTTTTCCAAATCCGACATCATGGACCGGATTTTTTCTGGTGCATTTCATGTGATTCGTTTTTGTTTTTGCACATTTTAAATAAAATAAAACAACCAAAAGTGGAGCTCAATTCACGAATATCTTTTTTTTCTCATTTTATTTCTATGTGTCAGAGCAGAGCCCATCCAAAGTGAAGATTTATGATGTTGATAACTGTTTTGATATTGTGAAAGCCAAAAATTCAATGCGTTCAACAGCGACGACAAATAAATACTCGTCGTGTGTCAAACACAACACACACTCAAAAAGAGGCGAATGATATACGTTGAACTTGAGCTTGACAGTGAACCAATTTACACGAGATATTTTAATAGCTACCGTTTTTAAATCATAAACTCTTCACTCAAAATATACTCTCGACCATTTAAATGAGCAAGTTATAGTGGAAAAAAGAAGAAATATGCGTTTGTGCACGCATTAAATGTCTTATCTCTTTTTCATAGAACTGGTTTTGTCATTCGAATTGCGATTTTGTTCAAAAGAGAGATGCAGACGGTTGTGGGGGAAATGAATTACATAAAATTTTCTTTAATTGAAAAACCACACGTCAATTACAAATCGAATCTGAATTCGATTTTATATTCTCGTGATGCGATTTGAAGTGATTGTGGCCCGCAAGCGAATAGACAGAACAGGTCTACGTAGTGATTATTAGACACACAGACTTATTAAGATATCAGACACACACACACACACGGTAAAAAAAAGATATTAACGCATTTTGTTGTGTGTACATTTTCTAAATTTGCGTGCGCGTATGCTTTTGTATACATCGATTTGCAATTGCGATTAATCATAACAAGCGATCAACACAAATTGCAGAATAAATGAGCGAAAATAACGAACGGATTAGTAGAAATTATCAAACAACAGAAACTTTAACACGACAAACAGGTACGCACACAATGCAAAACACCACACGACAACGATAGACAGCAATGTGCGCACGTTTTCACTTCTATCTTGATTATATCGAATGCAACGCGAATTTATGGGAACGAGAATGCGAAGCAAAAAAAAATTGAACGACAATGATGTTCAATGTGAGTCAAAATGAACAACATTTGTGGCAATTGATGTTGAATACCGAATGCGGTGACAATCATCAATTTTCAAAATGATAGGCACAATTTCACCGTGCGATTCGATTCGAGTCCGAATATGACAAAATATTACGTTTCGGTAGTGTACAATTTAAAATGGACAGATCAAGTCTGATGCTAAGTTGCTGATAAAGAGATGGCAAGAGCAAGATTGTATGCACATTTTGAACGACATGTTCACAGCGATACATGGTTTTGATTTCAATGGCAAATGCAGAACAAATGGATGAGGTTTTAAACATTCACACACACATGCATCTCACAGTGCTTTTGTTAACAAATCACAAATACCACACATAAATGGTCATTTCGAGAAGAAATCAAATGGAAAATCATCATAATTAAACGACAAACAAGCGATCACAAAATCGCAACAAGAGAAAATAAGAGGAAAAAACCCGACCGAATTGTTACGCACCCGGACATTATACTTTAACAAATGCACACAAAATTATGGTAAATAACACTTCTAGAGTAAAGCGTTTGAGCGACAATGCACGAAATCAATTTTCTATTTTCGGACAAATTCGCTGCGACACAAACACACCATTCTGCTAGCGGTATGTTGCAATGCGACATACCGCTATGCAATTGCACCAGATGAGCTCGAAAACAAACATCATTCTGTGAATGTGAACCACGGAAATCACTTGCAGATGCATTTGAGCGTTCGAACAAAGCCAATTGCATGTTTCGCGAAACAGCACGCGAACAACAATAACAACTCAACTCTTGTTCGCTTATTCACACGACAAATCGAAATATATCGACACACGTAGACACCATCGGACCGAAAACATTTCCCCGAATATAGTATATCCCGATATACGAGATTAGTGAAATTAATGGACAATATAGGAAGCTTTACACATACCATTTTTTGGATGGTGATTTTTGCACAACAAAATTTATATCCAAAATTGTTTTTACTGCTGTTGATTGCTGGCAACGTTTTTAAACACTATCACGTATGTACGCACACTTGATAGTTCGTTCGACAAATGTTTTCTCTTTCTCCCTCGATCACACACTATATTTTGTCACAGAGAACATGCGATTTAAATGCGAGGAAGTCTCCTAACAATGAGAACTATGGAATTTTAAGTTGACTTTACTCTCGTTTGAGTTTGATTCAAATGTCTGTGTTAAAATCTTCAGCGCTTAAATTTCAAAATGTTTTTACACAATGAAAATTGTTTGGTGTGAGTGTTAAACCGAATTTTGTATTCAGAGATGCACTTTATATAGATAAATTCGCGAACGTAAACGTGTTGTCTAGCCCGAAAATAAATGGTCTGACATCCGGATGAAGTCACTTTCCTTAATGCATCAAGTGATAGTTCCGAGTACTAAACGAATGCATATACACACAGTTCTGCTGCAAATGCTGTTTGTCCGTTTGTAAGTGTTCTATTTGACACGTTTGTTTTCTTTATGTTATTTTTTTTCTCTGGCTTATCTCGTTGCCTGATCCAAAATTCACTGCTTGATTTTTATTTCGCGGAATCTTTTTACGTAACACCATAAAATGCACTTTGTAAAACCGCCAGCTTTCAATGGTCCGAAAATAAATATTATACAAATAATTCAGATATAAAACTCTAAATAAAAATAAACACACACAATAATCCCGCTGCGTTTATGTGCGCAACTGTTGGTTTCTTTCTCGTTGCTAATGTTCCGTTTAGTTCAAGAGACAAATTTAAAATGCCGCTACATTATGGATATGTACACATTATTATAGGTACGGGGTTTTGACGAAAGCAGCTCTCTCGAAGCCCAATGTTTGCATGAATTTTGTGTGTCGGTATGGAATACACTATTTTTTTGTTGTTCGTTGTTGTTTCGTATACCAACTCCACTCAACCTCCAACCATCATCATCATCATCACCGTCATCATTGTTGTTGCCGCTGCTGTGCAACTGTTCGCATCAATACGTGTATAGCTGTATGTCGACAGCATTTCTCAATATATGTGAAAAAAAGATCAGATCATTGAGTGTGTGTGTGTGTGAAATGCGTGCACCGTTCGACGTATACATTTTGGTCAATCGTTTCGAATGACGCCGGTAGGTAAATGTGTGTTTGTGTATTCGTCGACGAAACGAAAGTTTTTTAACAAAAGAGAAAGAAAGTGATGCAGCAAAATAGTATGAAAGCAAAACAAACATTCAGCGATACGCGCGGCACCAAGATTCAATGAGCACCATATACATTTATAAATTGTCATACAAGTGAGCTTCGAATGCCGGTGTTTTTCGAAAGAAATAAAGAAGAAAAAGGGAGAAAGGTGTACAGAACACACTGTGAGCAAAATGATTTAAGCATGATACCTCTTTCTCTGCATATATATATGGATCAGCAGCATCAACGGCAGAATCGACATTGCTGCAATTGTGTGGTTTTGACTGCGATTATCGAATTTCGTTTTGTGCCAAAGTTATCTCTTTCATTCGCTGGTACAGTTTTTCGTCCACATTGTACTCACACATATTTTTTTTCTGACCGTTTTCTCGGCGCGCGAATTTCATCTCGAAACTGTTTTAAATAATGTTCCGTGATGTTTAACCATTGCGGTTTTGCAGTTGATAAAACAATGCAAAGGCTTGCGCAAACACATGCACACACATGTCAAATGATATTTTCATTTGCATGTTCGGCTCACTTAGTTTTTGATTTGAAAATTGCTCGAGTGCGTGAAATAATAATCGATTTTCGTCGGGTGGAATATTTCGATTGATTGACTGTATGGTGGTCACAGTCTATAATTACATCATGCCAGAAACATTCGCATCCGCATTTTACACACATTCAATTTCTATGTATGGACAAAACAATGGAGTAATGAAAAAAACCCATATCGATTGAAAGAGATCGGTTTGCATTTGCAATTTTTCTAAAACCAGAAAATTGGTTGCTTCATTTATATTCAACAAATAACGGAATAGTTTCTGCATGAATCATTTTTTTCTCTGCAATTTTTTGGGATATTAATTGCAGATTTTATATGTGATACCGGATGTAGCAACGATGCGTGCGTATGTATAGTGTATACTCTGAAATACACGTGTTTTTGAGTGGAAAAAAGTATCACATTTAATGGGGGAAATTTTTTTGTATTTCTGCTTACGCCATTCGCACTAAATAAATGGCATGAATCATAGACGTGATTGCTCCCGCTCTGTAATTCAGGTCGACACAGGCGCTGATATGGTAATATTCGAGCTGAAGAATTAATATAAATTCATATCACACACTCGAGCATTTTATAATTTAATGTGAAAATTGCATTCGATTATTAAATAATTATGAAATCGATAAGTTGCTGGTGGATATGCTGTTAAAATGCGTCACAAAGTGGAGTCGTGCCGGATAGCAAGCAAATGTATGCACTCGACACAAATGTTGTTCTCTGTCTGTTTTGTTGGCCAATAGCAATACATGGTTCCCGTACACCATATCGTTTATATTAATTGATGTGCTATGTGCGCTCATCTCATCGTTGGCGAAATTATAACAAATACCATCGATTATATTGCGATTACCATGAGTCATCCGGTATTTTACATCCATTTCTTTTCCCTCCCCATTATTGTCATCGAATATCGCGTTTATTATGCATGAATGTGCATATTTCAAATGCTTCAGGGCGCAAACACACGCACACACATTGCCAATGACTCAATTGAAACGAACGAGAAAATTAAAATCGATTTGTCGGAAATAATTGCGCGCGATCACCTCAACAATGAATATTCAAATTTGAAGCGTACTTATAACTTTATCACGCGCTCGCGAAATAACTTCAACAAAACAAAGAGAGTTTTTTTTTAAATTACTATCACTTTTTTCCCTCTTTGTACAAATTGCTTTTGAGAAATTTGTGTACGTTTCATCACTTGCATAATTTAAAACAACTTTTCCGTATCGAGCATGCTACTCATTTCACAATAAATAATTAATAGGTGGAAATTGATTTTGATTTTGTTTTCGGTTGCGAAAGCTTTACTCATTTCACCGTCTGCCTTTGACAACCAAAAATCAATCTATCGTTCAAACAAACCTTTGGTTATTCGCTGAAAAACCACAAAAGTGAAATGTAAAATTATTTATAATGCTCACATTTCAAATCTGATCATTGTCTGTGTGGATATTCTATGCATATCTATTTTTTTATTTTTTTATTAGATCATCATCAAACAAGATTGTTGAAGTACCTGAAATTGAAATTATAGTAACCGTTTGAGCATGTATTTCGTAAGAACCCGTTCACAAAAACCCTGCATTCAATTTCAGATCGTTTTTATGGTCGCATGTCTTTTAGCACGCATCAATTTTCATTCATACTATCATCGTCTTTATTCAATCGGCTCAAAATTAGTATAACAGATAGAATGAATGGTAATTGTGATTTTCTGTTTTCCCACACACATACACAGCTGGCACAGCGCACACGGTACGAGTTCGTTTAAAAAACAAAACATAAAAAACGGTATGCGTGACGTGGATTACACCGTTTAAAACACAAAACCAGCATCATTTGGTGCAGAAATTAAATACATCTCCTATTTAAAAAAAATTCCCTCAATCTCATCCAATTACTGTCAATTTCAGAAAAGAATTTCGTCATTTTATTGTTTTTGAACTGAGAGTTTTGTTTTTCAGACGTGACGACGTGAAAAAGGCCACCAGACGATGTTTTAACAATAAACATAAACGCATTTACGAGCATTTTATGTGCGAAATTTTAATCGTACTTTAATTTAATGGATTTTGTTCAGGTGATGGTGTGCGGAACATTTTTTTTGCATTAGATTCCACTATCAAATGGCATATAAGCGATAGTATTTTGAGTATTGAGCAAACACAATTAACTAGGTCCTCATTTGCATGTCATATTATGGCAATATTAATGTCATTTTTTTGTTGGTAAAACAAATTACTTGCAATGATCACTTAACTTTTCTATTAGTCTTCCCCATTCTTGGTATTTTCTCTTTCGAAATGGTTCCGCCATTGTTGCGGATGGAATTTGTATTGAATTCTTTTATTTATTCACAGAAATATTTCAAATGAATATTTAATTGCGGAATTCGAGTCAATTAATTCTGAACTATCTTTTGATTCTATTCCTATTTGATGATTCCAACAACATACACTATCATGAATGCGTTTGAATTTCCAAATAAGAATAAAGATGTCCGAACTCTAATTTAAAAAAAAACCTTTTCGTAACCTATTTCTTTTGTTTCTCTGGCGCTGTGAATGTTGGAATTCAAAAACTGCATCGTAATTAAATTGTGAAAGAATGCCACTAATTTCGGTGAATGCGATCCATAACATCGTCCAAAATATATAGATTACACTTAAAAGATTTATAGAAAAAAAAAACTTAAATAAAATTTGAATATTTTAACGAGAAAAAAAGTAATAATCTTAATGGCCTTGTGTGTATTTAAATCGAAAAGGTTTTTTATGTTCAATATAAATCGATCTTCATTCACATTTCTACATTTGGTTGAGAGAAAAAAAATCAACTTGTTTGTGTCCCAGTGATACAGTTGTTGATCGGATGCAGGTTTCAAATTAAAGGTAAAAAAAGAATGAAGCCAGCTATCATGTATCAGCATAAGCGTTCAACAAAGCCTAAGAAATACAAAAAAATACGAAGAAGTTGAAAGCGAGCCATCAATAAACACGGGCGAGCAAGCAAACGAACGCGCGCACATTCCATATGAGACATCGATCGACCCAGAGAGAAACAGAGAGTAAAATGCGCACACACACGCAGAACTTTCGCCTTCGATTGATGTCATATCGCCGGACTACGAAATGAAATATAATAATTTATGATTATTTAAAAGATGGTAACGACAATACGAGCACGAGAGAGAAAAATAAAAATGAAAACCATTTGAGTGTGCCAACGAACACAAAACTAGAAACCAACTAGAAAAGTTGTATTTTATTATTTTATTCCAAAAGAGATGAAGACGAAGAAAAAAGACTTTGGGCGATTAGCACAAACAGAGCGCGCGCACAGATCACAGTGAATTGTTATTCAATGCAATTTATATGTCGAACAAAAGGGAAGAAGCGCATACGCGAGAAATAAGATGAAAACAAATGTTCCAACATCGATGACATTTTACTTGAATGGTATTTTTGATCTTACATTTCTCGTTTCAAAGATGATAGTTTTAGCTGCTTTCTTTTTCGCGCTATACATACGAGAGGGAAAACGAAAATAAAAAACAAAAAAAAACATTCTCCAATTTCATTTTTTTTCTTCATTTACAAAATGCATTCAGTCAGAAGTTGAACAGAAAAAGTGTGTTTTTACTTCTTTCTTCTTTTTTACTTTGTGGCTTCGATGGCATCGGTAAGAAATGGAGACCAGTTTCATTGAGTTTGTGTTCGATTGGATGAGCATTTTCGAGTGAATCAATTGCGATAATAATAAGGCATCACTATCGTCATAAGTGAGAGTATTTTTGATCACAATTTCGACGAGCAATTGCACGGTCACACTTGTGGTATGACATTATGATGTAAACAAAGTGAAACTTTATTCGTTTCTATTTTTTTTCTTCGATAACTTATAGGGTTTTTTTCAATTTTACAAGCCAAACCTGTAAAGTTACTGAAGAAATCGAAGTATTTCAGTCATTCTTCTTTTTATTTTACACGCTCAGC